CAGCCGCTGTGAAAAAGCGAAGCCCGTTATAGGTCACCCATGAGTCGTGAGCCAGATCTAGTTGTCGCGTCGAGATTTGCGGCGTCGTTGATTCGTTGGAAAGTGGCAAGGGAATAATCTGGACGCCCGTTGTTCTGATGCGCTTGGAGGCGAAGACGACACTCTCGAACCTCCGGCAGCTGATCGGAAGGAATTACGAGGCAAGTGAAGACGGCCTGTTGCCTTAGCAATGAATACCGTCTAGTGTTAGCTGTGAAGACAAACGGATTGACGGTTGAGTCAGTCGGAGTCCCGTATGATTTCGCATGGCTGCCTTTATTTCATTTTTTTTGTTTTACGAGAGATAGTTTGTGTTCGATGGTTGTGATTACGGGCAGTTGTTGTTGGTTGCGCAATTAGAAGGTCCCGGATACTTCTGTTGAATAGCGGTGCGGAACGACGCACACTTTCAAGCCTTTAGGGCCACCTTCCAGCGATTGCTTGTGGTGAATTGACATTCATAGAAGTGTCAGTTCCGGTGATGGTCGGTGTGAGCGTTGAATCGAACTGAGACTTAGTTTTATAGATGATATAGCTAACGGAATCGGCATCATACGAGATATATTTTGCTTTATGGCCATTTGCACAAGCACTGTAGTGTGTGGCGGCTTGTCAATTCTCACTTGGCACGCTCCACTAACAACTTTTCATGCTCATTTTGGCAGCATTGACTCTTACTGGTCGTCTGTATTTTTCCGTTTCTGAAGGCACAGATGCTGATCCCACAAAACGGTTTAGGACTGTTTCTGATTAGGTCGATATATACATAAATACCATAAATAATACGATACGCTGGTGCCACCTTTTGCAATCCTACTGTACGAATCAGTATTCAGACTAGGTGCCCAGCCTCAACAAAGAATAATGTTCAGCGAACGTAACAGCGACAAAACGAAATTCGATTACTTTCCTAATTTTGGCGTTGTGACAATTTCAGAAACGATTTGTTCGTGCTTGAACACAATGCGCCTACCTTACTTCTGTGTGTTGTCATCTGCAACCGGACATTGCCTGAAAAAGCCACTCGAAAAGTTTTCAGAGAAAACTGTGTGTTACACTGAGAATGGAGCGTGCTGGAGTCATCTTACGCGAGAATTCGTTTTAGTTTCAAAAGCATTTAGGTAGAAGAGAACATGTGCCTTTGATATCTTTCAATGATTTATTTATTTAGCTATTTATTTATTTATTCATTTATAATTGCTGCCACACTCACCCGAAGTTATAGTGGGGAGGCAGACAATAAACTTTCTTAGTTACTTACTGTGATGTATGTTTAACGTAATACACAGCCTCGTTCTTTTTTTTTACAACTGTTAGAACTACGCATTAATAAAAGAAAACCTAATATTAGGTGCATGAAACAGGGTATCACTGAACACCATTATAAAAGAGACAAGCTATACATCCGTAACATTAATTTTTTGGGGGGTTTTGCATCGCGAAACCGCCACGTGATTGAAAGACGTTATTGTAGCGGAGGAGGCTTCAGAGATTTCGGTCATTGAGGGTTCTTTAAAGTGCGCCCAAACCTAAGCACACAGGACTCTAGCATTTCCTTTCAGTCGAAGCGCAGCTTTGGCGGCCTGGATTCGATCCCGCGACCTTTAGATCAGCATACAATCGGAACGTGACATAGGCTCAGCCCTTAATGTGAACAAAACCAGAGTGCGATCACGTCACCAGTCAGGAAGGACGCGACATTTCTTGCCTGTGCCTTGATTGTCCACTTTTTTTTTGACAATGATAATCAAGCAGCCCGGCTTTTGACCATCTTATTGCTCACCAATTAGTACTCTTGATGATGATGTACTCTTGAAGTGCTTCGCCTCTCCCTACCCGTGCGTGCGTTCGCATGATCGCTATCGTCACCACCAGTGACCGGTAGTGGCAAAGCGATTCCTAGTAGGTATATTCCGGTGCTAATGTACTTACGTGTGCTTGCGCTGAACGTGGCGCCCCGGTCGCACAATGGCTAGGGTGCTTGGCTTCTGACTGCAGAGTCGCAAGTTCGAACCAGGTTGCGATGGTCGCTTTTTCAGTGGTGGCAAAATGCTAAATGCCCGTGCACTTACCGAAACAGCCGTTCGGGCTAGCTGGTCGCCAGTGTCGTCGTTCTCTTCACTGCCTGTTATGCATTGCAGCTTACTTTTTGCGTTTAATATGAACCGTTTATTTCAATATAGGTGCATGTTAACGAAACCAAGATTTAACGAAATCACCGGAACCCTCCGGTTCATCGTCTCTGATTACTAAACCATGGTTTTGTGATGAAAAACCCAGATATTATATAATTGTTGCCACCAGTAAGTGCCATTATAATGGACAGTCGTTTTTTTTTGTGTCAGATAATCTTGCACCTGCACGTCCTAGTGTAACAATATCGTCAGAAATTTCCTACATAGTGACAACCTGCTGCTTACGCTGTGTACGTCAGAGGCCGGCAACTTGTGGGCTGTGCGACAGTTTTATGCGTAACCTTCAACGACTAAGAGCATTCCCCCACCTGCTTGAGTAACCCATTAACACCACCGCGACTTTATGTGTGGCTAAACAATTTCAGCATTTTCAAAAGTCGCATTAAAATAGTTTTTTTCCTCTTTTTGCCCGTAACCTGTGTTTATAATTGCACTTTGTGATGTGCGTGCTGAAAATATACATAATTCCTACTTACAGTCATGCACACTATCATGGTCAATGCACCACATTGTTTTCGCTTTGCTTCCAAAGCCCTTTCATTCTTTAACTCTTCCACAATCGGCTTAACTGCGTGAAGCCGACACGATGAGGTCCATCGTGTCGGCTTCACGCTGCAGTTAAGCCCTCAGTTTGAAAAGGTTGGCGATCCCTGATGTAAATACCGAGAATATTTTACAAATAGTACGAATGAAACTATAGATGTGAGCAAAGTGAAGTGGTTGGCTAGTCGGTTTTTTCCTGATTAAAAAAAAAACGGCACTCCACTTACTGCGATGTGACGAGGTCAAGGATGAGACACGAAGCGAAGTCGACACTTGTAATCGTAATCATCCCGCGTGTAGTACCTGAAAACAGTTCAGCAAGATTCCCACCCACTCGCCTTGCCCCCACCCACATCGTAAACCGATCTTTCCCCTTCCTCGAAGTCTTGTTACCTTCAAAAAGTTTTTTATCAATAAATTCAGTTGATATATAGCTTTCGCTTGTAGTTCCCACTTTAATTCGTGTCTCCTCCCTAATTTCGTATTTCGCAGTAATGGTAGTGCAGTATAATAATAATTTTTTTAATGATAAAACTACATGACTCTAAAATGAGCCGCATGTGGATGCTGTCACTGTCTAAAAATCAACAGGATACCAGGGACTCACATGATGGGAAGTGTTCACTTCATTCGTTGCAAATTACACTGCTATGTTGAAGAGCAAGTCGGCCGAAAATATCACTAAATATAGACATGTGCAAATCTAAAGAAAATAGTACATGTGTAGAATAAGGACATTATAACAGAAAACATTAAATACAAATGGAAACAAATTTCGAGCGTTAATCAATCCTGCATCTACGTTTAATCTATATTGTAAACCTTATGGTTATAGCATTTATTACCACTGCTGTACAGCCAAATTCCGCAATACACTTTCAATGTCTCACCCCGCCCTAATTACTGTCCATTTAAGTCATAAACATCCAACTACTATTAAAACAACAAATCATATCTCCTACGCCTTGCTAGACTTGATTATTTTGGGCTTTTTAGTTGTGACCATGGTTCAGTTAACTTTTGTACTGGAGGCCCCCTAAACGACTCCGATGCAAAGATAATATATTGGTTGCTTTCTTACGTTTCTACAGGCCACTTATTCTCCTCGCCACTTATAAATTCACAAAGAGCATGAGCAACATAAGCAGTAAGCGTCGGGCATGTTAGCATTTCACGTTTGTCAGTCCAAAACTCACATCGGAAGTGAAAGCACTTGACCACCCACCATGGTCATGCGAGAGAAGGAAGAGTGGGGAGTACGCACCGTAATAATTTGACGTGTATCACCGTTATGACATCATTGTGCATATCACACACACAAAAAGAGAGAGACTGCAAGGAACAATAACGCTACCCACTTTTTAAAAGAATGTAGTCTTTCTTGGGCTACTTCAACGCAAAAATTTTCATCTGCCTGTTGGTCGATCAACATGTCTGTCTGTCACCCGAAATTGCTAAAGTGCAACCACATCCACAGTGCCCACCGATATAGCTGTCCATGGTTTCTGCGCTCATACTTTTCTGTGTTGTCGTTTGAAAAGCAAATATTGCGCATATCCGAGGCATGACTTCATCGCGTCATATCTAATGGCCTGTTTCTTTATACTATAAACGGGATACATAAGTAATTATAAGTGCCGTCATGCTTATTACGCCACACTGACAATGCAACGCTATGCGTTGGGTGGGTGTTTCCCTACGCTTCGCTATGACGATACATTGGTGGCACGTAAATCCGTGGCATTGCATTGTACAAATTACGGCCTCCAGATGGCGCGCACACGCCGCGCGCTATCGGAGGCCATCCATTCGTTTTTCGAGATTACTGCCAGATGACGCTCGTGTCTCACGCAGCACCTTCAGAATCCCATTCACCGATTTTTCTCGCGCTAAACATTAAATAAACGTTGTATTCACTCTCTACAGACGGAAGACTATCGTCTTTCGACGACATTTGCACTGAAACATGCAGATACGCTGCCGATTTTTCAACGTTGAAAACCTGTTTAAGGACGTCGTGAAAAGGGTCACTTATCTCAAGCTTACTAGTTTCACTTTACGTAGGCGCCAAATTTGTCAATCTCGAAAGCCTGTTTGAGGACGTCGTGAAAAGGGTTACTTATCTCAAGCTTCTCTCATGTTTTATTTTGCGCTGTTTGAGTATTCCACGTGATCGGTCGTCGTTGCAGGCCTGGTGGGCTGCCGCAGCACAGCAGGGGGGCATGGGCAGCAGCGGCCGCGCTGTGCGGCGGGCTGTCCCTAGCCATCGTCGCCGCCGTCTGCGCCTCTGAGCGCCCATGGAGGGCAAGGAGACACCGCCGGACGACAGCTGCAAGGAGCCCGTGCTGGCCAAGATGGAGGCACTCGTGCGAGAGATGCAGCACCCGGACACGGGCGTGCCCGTGCGAAGCCAAAAGCTCTTCCTGACCTCCATACCAAGCGCGTTCCTTGGTACGCCACTCATTCCACTTGTCTTCATTTGAAGCACTCACGCTGGAAGTGGCCTTCTTGCTCGATGACTAACTGGATCGCTCACTCGTTCGCTCACTCACATAAATATTTAGTTAAACAATCAGTTATAATCAAATATTAAAAGTAAGTAATATACAATTGATAATTTTTCTTTGGTCACACATGACGTGGTTTGTGAGCACGTTAACTGCATTACCCCCTCACTCGCTTATTCACTCAGTCACTCAACAGCCAACCAAGTCACTCACCCGCTCACTCACTCACCTGACTCACCTCACTCACCTCACTCACTAGGTTCTTCACTTTGGTCTATGCACTCTGACACCTATTATCACTCAAACACACAGCAAAATTGCCTCAACTTGGTCGCATTCATTGAAACCGACCGATTGTCTCATTTATGGTCTCAAGACCACAACCATTCATTCTTCTTCTTGTGCTCACTAACTCATGCATATTTATTATCCCATTACGTTTGATCACTCGGTCACACAAATGTTCACTCAGCTGACTTTTGTATCTCGTCAATAGACTAACTCCCTCATCTAATGGTATTCTCACCCGCTCATTCACTGGCAGACCTTCACACCCGTCCACCTATTCGATCGCCCGCTCACTGACCTCTCCTTCTCTTGCAGGCTATGACGTTGTCGAATGGCTCACGGATAACCTGGACATTGAGGATCAGAGTAAGAGACTCGGCGTCTAAAGCCTCTTTCGATTTTTGTTTATCGTACCTGCACGATCGGGAAAAAGTGAAACTCGAACTAAACTTCGCTTGAGGCCAGTCGCTCTCGAACAGCCATAACTAAGCTGAAGTTAGCGATACTGGGATTCCTGAAGCTCTTTTCCCCAATGCTGTGTAACAACGCTTATTTAAATATTATCATCCTCAAAGAGACGAACTATTGTCACGACGACTTATGCGACGACGACAGATGGAAGATAAACGAACGAGCAACAAAAACACTGTCTACAGCCTCTGGCTTCATATGCTTTTCACCTACACGTTGGCATAAGTATGTAAGATCGATTGATTTGTGGGGTTTAACGTCCCAAAACCACCATATGATTATGAGAGACGCCGTAGTGGAGGGCTCCGGAAATTTTGAACAGCTAGGGTTCTTTAAAATGCACCCAAATCTGAGTACACGGGCCTACAACATTTCCGCCTCCATCAGAAATGCAGCCGCCACAGCCGGGCTTTGAACCCGCGACCTGCGGGTCAGCAGCCGAGTACCTTAGCCACTAGACCACCGTGGCGGGCTAAGTATGTAAGATCAACTAGCTCCGACGAAGGCTTTGTTAACGAATGAAAAGGCAGGCGGTTATGTATCGGCAAATGTATACCTCCTCGATGTGCATTTTCTCGTGGTTAGATCAGTAGAAAGATGGCGAATAACGAACCCTTATAAAGATACATGAAGCGTTCATTTGTTCTGTTTTGCTGCATGGTGCCAATTATTGCACCTTTCTTAAGGTCTACACGTGCGCGTATTGAAATAAACAAAAAAAAGAGAAGGAAAAAAGCTACACGTGTACGCAGATCCCGTGGCAGCCGAAGCCCTTCACCTGGCCAACCTGCTGTGCCAGTACGGCTACTTCTTTCCGGTCAGCGACAACGCCAAGACCTTCGCCATCAGGGATGACAGCACTCTGTACAGGTTCCAGGTTGGCACGAGTACTTACTACCAATTTTCGTTGTTTGTTTTTGTTGTTTGTGCTGTGTAGTTTTGTTGCTATTTCTGCTTATCATGAATCACCAACAGGCCAGCGTCCGCACATTTCTGAATTTTTACTTTTCCAGCTGGAACTGGAGAGATGTGAACTGCTAAGTCGTGTGCTGCTTATGAATACAAGGTGTCTTGGAGAGCACGTAATGTTTAGAGCGGCTAGAATAAGCATCCAATATTTACGCAAAACGCTTTCCTAAATAAAAAATGTTTATAAAGAAAGATTACCAAGAGGCATTTGAACTAGGGATCGAGAGAATTGGTGAAGGCTTTTGGCTGCTCAGTTAGCAGTGGGAGATTTACATAGCAATAGCTGCGAGAACGTGATTTAAGAGGACAGTGCTGTTAAGATTAGCAAAATTATTGCTACGTAAATCTCGCCATCAGAAGCAGCATCAGGCTTCCTTTATTTTACTTTGTAATTAGGGGGAGTGAGGAGGTGGGGGTCATCCAAGACAAGCGGCTTCCTTCGGAAGTTCCAGGCCAGCGAGGGGTGTACTGCTCATCTTGGGTGACTTTTTCAGTGCTCTCGGGCGAACAGATGGGATGGGTAAGGCAAAGAGTTGAATTCTCTTTTTTCCCCTGGCTCCATCTCTTCTTACACTGCGTACAATGCTCCCGCTTAGAAGTAAAACCTCAAGAGACGTCTCTATTTTGTGCAGGTGATGGCATAGCTTGAATAAACGAGATGAATCAGTCCCCAATATTGTGTAATGTCCGTGTTTTACTCACGAATGACCATGCCTACTCGCTTTTGTCTCTCTCGGTGTTACAGACTCCTTACTTCTGGCCTTCCCGTTACCAGCCCGACAACACCGATTACGGTAAGCACTGACACTCCCCGTTTCATTGCATCGTTTTTTTTTTTACCAGTAGTAACGGGAAGAGTTAAGTGATTTCACTTTCAACTTTTATACTGCGTGCATTGAGTACTGGCTGCAGAGTAAAGCTTGTGCTACAGGAAGCTTTAGGGTGCATTCAAGTAAGTTTTGATGGTGTCATTTTACTCAACGTCTGCCATACTATATGTATGTAAAGGCACCTGTTTCTGTCACTTCGTTTCTCCGCTTCGTCCGCGTACTCTTTGCCCCGTGTCTGTTTTTTTCCCCTTAAGTATGAACCAATTTGCTCAGCAACAAGTTCTGTGATTGATAAGTCTGCAAATGCACTTCATTGCAGTAAAAAGGCTGTATACTGTGCAAAGCAGATTTCCCGTATCATTAATCATATCTATTTGTAATCACCATATGCGCGAGTTCTTATGCCGCGTCCTTGACAACTGCTCAAATGTTCCTTTCTTTCTTTGTCCAGCTATCTACCTGTGTAAACGGGCGCTCAAAAACAAGCCCAAGTATGCCCTGGAGGAGTACGAACAGGTAAGAGTGGAACCCGCAGTTGTAACGTACACACTTCTGTGCTCATGTTTACCCCGTCATAAGGCGCTAAGCGTGTACAGAAATGGGACTAAAGAAATCGCCAGAACAACACAAATAACGGTGTCATTGTTAACAACCACGTGTGCGTATATGGCATCGTCGTACGAAATAAAGGATAAAAGGTGTATTTGGAAGCACGCGGTGGGCTAACGAGTTCCGTAGAGATGCACCAATTGGCGAAAGGATAGGACTCAGTCAAACAAGAAAGATAGTAAGAAAAGGAAAATAGGAAAGTTGTTACAGAAACAAGAGAACCATAAATCATAACAATGAGGCAAGCATTGAGAGATGACTCAGCAGTACGAAGAACAAAAGAATTGATGCCAGATCTAAAAAGTCACATACTCCCCTATTGATCTTATATTAAGCCGAAGACCACTCAAAGGCAAAAGCCATTTTACTTTCATTTTCAGTTTTTTATTTTGAGCTCCACCTTCCCAAAAGCTTTCTGTACGCAACGCCATTCTGAACTGCATGCGGGAGGCACCGAAAGCTCTCAAAATCGCACGTAGCATGCCTCTGAGATAGGCCCACCTATGAACCAGTCACGGTGGCGTCGTACTGGCGTCACAAGGTTGGCATCCAGGACGTCTCGATTATGTCATAGGGTGACGTAATCTTGTGATCTTTTGTCTAATATGGGTGGATGTCATCGGTGCATTTTGCGGTCGACTAGGTACCGCTTAGGCTTTAACCTATAAGCCCTCAGTGTCTTGTTAAAGCCATTTGGTGACAGAGGAGGAGAAAGAGGAGCGAGATTGTTTGCAGCAATCGGATGTGGCCCAGAAAATACGGATGGCAATAGCTCAACCAGAGTGCCATCTATGCAACGCAGCCTACTTCATTGCAATATTACGATGAGTAGCAAAATGTTGCGTGTTAAGGAAACTCCATCCACGCCAAATTTTAGCCACTCAAAGTGCAAGCAATGTGACAGAGGAGGAGCTGAAAAATCTATCTTAAGCATTCGGCGTCCTCGCGTCAATAAAATTATTTCAGTATAAGGTCGCAATACATATTTCTATACCCATTAATAATTATTGCTTTGTTAAAATACAAAAAAAGTGTGGAAGGTAGTGAAGGTGGTATCAACACATATGCGGTCAATGCGAGGCCTCGAAGACCTGATAGCATTTGTTCTACCTGAGTGACTCTTTCCAGTGTAGCTCAGATTTGGTGCACGTTAAAGCACCCCAGGGGGTCGAAATTTCTGGAGCCCTCCACTACGGCGTCTCTCATAATCATATAGTGATTTTGGGACGTTAAACTTCACATGTCAGTCTTTCCCGTGTAGTAATACCAACCAAGTATCACTCAGATTGGTGTCTTATAGAAAAGGTAAAGGATCGCAGACACCACTCTGAGAACGATCCACGCACCTTCTGGTAACATATCGTCTTAGCTGCCAGGACTTACTAACGGAATTGGTGGTACGAGATATCTGACGAGTTTATAACAGATTTATATGAAGGATGAAGGGCGAAAAACATACACAGGCAATAACTTTCAACACATGATTTATTTGAAACCTGATGACGTGTACGTTACATAGAGGCAAACGGCGTGTTGACTTAATCACAAGCTCATAGAACGTTGTCATACTTTAAGGAAAGGTAGCGATGGCTGGTTTTCAGCTGCTGACCCGCAGGTCACGGGTTCGAATCCCGGCTGTGGCGGCTGCATTTCCGATGGAGGCGGAAATGTTGTAGGCCCGTGTGCTCAGATTTGGGTGCACGTTAAAAAACCCCAGGTAGTCAAACTTTCTGGAGCCCTCCACTATGGCGTTTCTCATAATCATATGGTGGTTTTGGGACGTTAAACCCCACATATCAATGATCAATCAGCGATGGCTGGTTTACCACACATTGTGGCACGTGTGGGTGTGTTCCACTTTTTGATAAGTGTTTTGTTGTGCGTCGGTACCTGGAGCTGCAAAGCTTCGTCAGTGAATCAAAAACTATTGATAGACTTGGCCAAGTTCGTGTTATCATTATCTTTCCAATCAAACAACTTATTTCCCTCAATACGGCCATAATGTCGCATTCCTAAGCATTGATTGTTTGACGTATAAATATTTGTTATCCCAGAAAGCGTTTGTTGAATGTTAGTGCCTGTTCATGTCCGCTTCGTATTGTATCTTAACAAATCTACGCTAAGCACTTATGATATTCCTTCATCGCATTCGTGGGGAACCCAAGATGAATGGGTGAACTAAGCCCCCTCTAGTATGACCACGCTCGCGTTTTCGTCGACTTTGGAGTGAGACGCACTGGCTTGAGATCTTTTCGGTCCAATAATCCTTACGGTTGCAGCGGTAGTGACCACATGGTCGACCACATCATAAATTTTTTTATAAATGTTTCGTTTTCGTGCATGCCGATTCCTCATTATGAACAAATCTTCTGTTCCGCTTACCTGATGCCTGTTCTTTCAGGAGGCCCTGCAGAGGCTCAAGAAGCTCCTTTACCACAAGTGGGAGTTCATCTGCATGCAAGCCCAAGAACAGGCAGCGTGAGTATATCAACTCCTCAAAGTGTTTAATCGGATCGCGGGCCTCGAACGAACAGGCAGTCAAGTGAGATAATAAAACAGCCTAAACTGATAGCATAATTTGCTGAGAACTCTATTCTCGGTAATCGCTCTGTTACAAACCCTTACATAAACAAAAATGAGCTTGAAAATTTCACGTTTTAAATTGAATTTTTAATCGCCACCTTGGCTCTGGTGTTTCAGTCTGGCAAAAAAAAAATTTTAATGCTTTTTTATGCTATTTCTTTCTTATGTTCTTAGGCACATTAGAAAGGCAAGTAAGCGTTATCCTTGCGACTGCTAATGTTTAAGTCATAGGGGTTTTCCACTGTTTTTTGAATAATGTGCGGGAAAAAGATGGGAACAATAGACTGTATTAACAAGCTCGAAATAAAAAAAACCTTATTGGCTGCCCAGAAACATAACGTAACAAACTTATGGCATGTTACAGGTATTATGTAATGATATAGCAGGCTCCTTAAATATTTCTGAGAGGAATGCTTACAGTGTTAGGCAATTTACCCTATGCACGCAATCATCCGCGCAGCCTGGCCAAGGAGCGGAAGAAGACTGACAAGCTGATCTTACAAAGTCAAGAAAGGGCCTACTGGAGAATTCATCGGCCACCGGTAACCTCACTTCTCCCTGCTTGCTTCGTGTACAACGCTAAGGACAAAGGCTAAAATATCCTTCCCTGAATGTACTGATCAAATGATTAATGGGGTGTTTTAACGAGTACTTTGTCTTGGTACCACTATAAGCGATGGGGACATGGTACCAAGACACTTAACATGTAAGATAGTTGAGACAGCAGAAATTGCAAGACCTGGCAATAACGGCGTGGCCGCCCTGTACCTTGCCTTAACAGAAAAAAGAAATTCGTTTTATGTTCTTGCGCATGACTCCCTGAAGTGACGTAAGCTGATATAACATTTTTTTTTCGCAAATAGTGGTTGGCAATCTTTTCTTTTTGTTTTGCTCACATGTCGTTTTTTTATATTCTGTTTCCTTTCGGAAATGAACATTAGTTGTAGGTTCAGCGTTCGTTTGTGTTTGCTCCTAGCCTCTTGACCCTAATTGCACTGTTGTCAGTATAATGGACAACCAACTTGCCCAAAGATTCGCACTGTCAAGTAAAAGAGAGAAACGAGCGATGATAATCCATCGTCATTTTCCTATCGCCAATGTTCACTTGCAGGACGTTACATTTGTGCACGCGGTCCTGTCCAGGTGACAAATTAAGAAATTAGCCCTCTGGGTAATTTGGCATACAATGCTCTGCCAGTATGCTTTAGCTCTGTGGATAGTGAAAAAAAAATCAGTTCTTCCTTCTGTTCACTGATAAGAACTACTAGCCCTTCCGACAAATATTGTTCTGAAACAATAACAAAAGGTCATCAACCGTTTCAAGCCGACTGGTGTTTGGTCTCTTAATCACGCAACACTTTAAGAAATCGGGCTGTTCTACGATGTCTTCGTCATTTCGCGTCGCGCCTCGTGTGCAGCGTAAAGACCACGTGCTCGGGCCATAGAGACTTCTTCGCCTTGATAAATAATAGTATGTAGGGTTTTACATCTCAAAGACCACGATGTGATTATGTGAGACGCCGTAGCGGAGGTTGGTTGAAATTTCGATCATCTGGTGTCCTTTAACGCGCGCTGACGTCACACAGTGTACGGACCTCCACCATTTCGTTTCCATCGAAATGGGACCACTGCGTCCGGTATCGAACTCGCGATCTTCGTGGCAGCAGCCGAGCACCCTAACCACTTCTCCACCGCGGCTGATAAGTACCTTGATGGTGATCACTTACCATCAGTGAAGAACAACCAGCGTGCTTAACGTAACGTGACCAGGATCCCCCGTAAAAAAGGAAAGGGCAAGAGTGAAATAGAAACAGAGAAAACAAAAAAATAGGTAGAAAATGAAAACAGCAAAAAAGAGAAATATGTTTATAAAGAGGGAAGAAGAAATATATGAAAATAATCAGAAAGACAAAAAAAAAACTCGTAAGGGTGAGTCAATGCCGGAATTTCATCTCGAATCGAGTTCGATTCACGTAGTGCCGAATAGTCCCCCTATAACGTAAGGCTATCTGCGAATACGTTTGCGCTCGTTTTAGACGCCCCGCCCGGAAGAAGTTGCACCATTGGTCTTTGTGACGCTTTACGTATTGATAACGTGAAAATATTCGAGAGTTGGAGTATTGGCTATTCTAAAGTCGAAGCGAATTATTCGGCTAAACATAACTGAATTATAGTTCAGAGCTCAAATATTTGCACGCCCTTAAAACAACAACAACAACAACAACAACAACAACAACAACAACAACAACAACAACAACAACAACAACAACAACAACAACAAAATGGAAAAAGATAAAAAGAACGAAAGAGTGGTAGAAGGCAAAAAAAAAAACCAAAGAGAAAAAAATGATGCTGCCCACCTCCGCATTTCTTTTGTTGCAAAGCTGCCTTAATTTTCTACCAACTAAAAGGGAACTACAGTATAATTGTAATGTGACATAATGGCGTATGATGTACAATTACATTGAAAAGTCGTGCTTCGTGAATGATACATTGATGGAGCAACAATAATATAAGCACTCTGCGGTTGATATATATACGTGCTCGCAAAGCCCATACTCGGCACTCTACATGGTACTTTAATGTACCCATCCTTTCCGCAGCCGGGATGTACGAGCTGCTTAGAGAAGAGCCCCGTGCCTAACAAGAGAGGCCCGCCGAAGAAAAAGACAAAAGACGATTTGAAACGAGAGGTAAGTAGGGTACACTAATTTCTCTCTATTTTTTTAGCAAGCGTTGTAAAAAATGATCTATTATAAGGTACAGTGTGACCAATCCCCCATGTGGGTATGAGCCAAGATCTCCTAGGAGACAAGACAAGACAAGACAAGGTACACAAACCTGATGCCCACGTGGAGCTTGTGTCTTTTCACACATAGCCAATCCATAATGAAATCACAAGCCTTTTTGGTAATCTACTAAAAGTTTACGATATTGCAGGTACTACAAAAAGGGACTGAACAATGACTTTCTAGCGATAAAATAAACAAAGCAGATTGAAACAATTCGTTCCCTTTACCAAGCAACATGAGGAAGGTGCTTTCTTTAAGGGTTTTAACTAGCAGATAATCAGTTAGCCTGCTCGTCTGCACCAAATAAATATCAAGAATTGTCGCTAATCAAGGGCTGACTCGAAGATGTTCCTTAATGGCACAATTTGCGAGAGATGGCTAAAACTGATAAGGGACGTACTGCGCACGGAAACATTCTAGCAGAAGAAATAGGTCAGCCTCCTGTACGAACTGTAACGTACTGAACGATTCGCGCACAACTAGAGCTAACGAATAATTATTTACGTGGTATTAATAATAGGTGATCCACGGAAGAACGGTTTTTGAACAGCTGTACGACATTTCTTTCTTGCAGATTGAAATTCTCAAGAGGAACCTTGCTCGGTCGCGGACTAAAGTGTCACAGATCCTCGCAAGGTGCGTTTACAACGGATATGTCCTTGTAATTTACAAGCAGCCATTCGTTCAAAGGTCACCAGTAATAATTATATTACTCACTTCTTCCATAATAAAGTGCGCGTCATCACTGTGTTCAATGCTTCAGGCGTTCGCACGTGCATAAGCAGACGGTTCATGCTTTTTGAATAACCAGCCTATGTTGTACTCTAAAATATCTAGTTACTAAAAAGTTTTATGTATGTATTTATTTGTTTATATAAAAATACCTTACAGGCCTCTGTTGAGGCATAGTGTAAGGCGGGCAGTACGAAAAGTGAAATTTATGAATCGTTCACAAAGTACACATTCAGGAACATACTTAAGGAACCAAATGACAGAGTACAATAGAAAGTATTAACGGCAGTACTGGTTACAAAAGAAACCCACAACACTAGCGAGATAAAACATAACTGGGAAACGATCACTGGGGGCATTATCCATAAAGTATTGTTAGTCTAGCAAGCTTCCGATTTTATACAAACTATTAGTTGACGTTACTAACTTATGTAATGCCGCTGAGGTTAAATTCTGGTCTCTTAGACGTAAGTTAAAATTTGCTTACCGAGATGCTAAACTGACAGCATACCTGACTTTAATACGTCCCACACTAGAATACGGAACCATAATATGGGATCCACATACAAAAAACGAAGTAAAGAAAATTGAAAAAATACAGAGGCGTGCAGCAAGGTTTAAAATGTCGAAATTAGGTACATAGACTCGGCGACCGAAATGCTGACTCAACTAAAACTGCCCGAGCTTTTATTGCGACGAAAAGTGGCTAGATTGAAATTCATACACTTAATGAGACAACTATTTTGATTTAAACCCCTAGAGATTCATAGAAAACAGAACGTCACGTATTTCACTGGTTGTTAGATCTAGCCATGAGGACCAGTTTGGGCCGATCCCTACAAAGGTTGACACCTTTAAATATTCCCTCTTCCTAAAAACGATTGAAGAATGGAACGCACTACCCCATAGCATAACTCAAATTAATTCTACAGAGAAATTTGAAAAGACGGTAATGGCATATTACTCATCTAGGTAACAATATCTGGGTGTTACCTCATCTCTTCTACCTGGAGATGTTCCCTTTTTCGTATATTTTTCTATAACTGCACGTTACGTTGGTAGGAAAAGTTCCTACGATGCTGAAGTTTGTGATATATAGCCTTCGTGAAGTGTGTTGTATGAAGTTATGCTACCATGCCAATCATTGATCACTACTGCGTAAACCTTAATTACCTTCCCTGTTGGATTGGTCCTCTGTTAAAAACTGCCTGTTGTGTTGTGTTTCTTGATTTCATTTTGTAGTGCTTGTCTGAACAAGTGAAGTGCATTTCTTTACCCCACCCTGTAACGGCCTTTGCTAAGAGTATCAATAAATAAATAAATAAATAAATAAATAAATAAATAAATAAATAAATAAATAAATAAATAAATCAAGAAATTGACGTATTTAATCAGTTCACGTATTTTACAAAGACCTCTCACCGAGGGCTCTCTGTAATACTAGTGCCAGCAGAACCTAGCTCACATAGAACTCAGTTGGGGTCAAGTCGTATTTGCGCCGAGTTTGCAGACAATCGGCTTGCATATATAACAAGATATGAAAATGCTGATCTGGCCCAGTAGATATCTGAATTATTAAACTAAGAAATAACTAATTAAATAAACCCCTGCGATTACTATGTCCTACACATTGGAATGTATCGTTCAAGCCTCACTTGATCTCGAGTACCTTGACTTTTCAAACAAGCTTTGCTTAGATGCAAGAGGTTAGTACACGTTCTCCCGTGTCTCAATGCTTCCTGACGCTTGTGATCCACTGCCGCGTATAGACGACCGTGCCTGTTTCTCCGTAGGTGTGAGCAGTACCAGTGCTTCGATAGCTTCATCGTCCCGCCGTACCCCGGGAATCCTTGGATCACGGACGACCCCACGCTATGGGCCCTCGAGAGCAGCACGTAAGTCGATCGGAATGCTGGCCCGTTATTCATCATCATCATCATCATCATCATCATCATCATCATCATCATCATCATCACGATCATCATCACGGTCATCATCCTCATTATCACTATCATCATCATCAACAACATCATCATCATCACTATCATCATCATCAACACCATCACTGCAGCAAGTGTTGCGTCAAGTGGTCATTACCCGTTAACAGACCAGTATTATAAAAAATTGGCCCTGTATCTGCATATTTATTTATTTATTTATTTGTTCAAAATACCTTACAGACCCAACAGGGCATTGTGTAAGGGGAGCATTGTGTAAGCGGCAACATTTCACTGCAAATGTCGTCGAAAGACGATAGTCTTACGTGTGGAGCGAGTGTTCAAAACATTTATTTGATGTTCTGCGTGAGAAAACCGGTGAATTGTATTTTGGAAGCGCTGCGTTAGAGAGTCTCGATCCGTGCAGTGGAGGCAAATGAGTGCATCGAGGCATGTTAGACACGAGCGCCATCTGGCAGTTATCTTCGAAAAGAAGGGAAACAGTGCGCGCCCACGGAGAAAGATGCGCGCATGTCTCGGAGGCGATAAGGTTTAGAACACGAAGCGATGGGCAGGTGCCACCACCATGTCGTCTTAGCAAAGCTTTGGAAACCCTTGCCTTTTTGAGCATCACATTGCACTGTTAGCGCAGCGTGATAAACGCTACGATCCTTAGAATTACGTGTGTGTGCCTTTTCCAGTACAAAGGCACACAGAAAATATTGAAGTTTTGTTATGGTGCCTCAGATATGCACAACAATTGTTTTTTAATCCACAATCACACAAGTATGAACGCTGAAACTTGAGCAATATTGGTGGGCGCCGCGGATGGGGTTGGCCGTTTGACATATCTTGGGGTACCACCGTGCTGTTTCGGATATTGCCAGTGCGGACAGACAGACAGACAGACAGACAGACAGACAGACAGACAGACCAAAATTTTGGCGTAGAAAGTCCCCAAGAAAGACTATCGTCGTTAAAAAGGCATCCGTAGTTGGAATATGACGTTCTGAACATTTCCTCGCACCTACAGGGCAGAGGTGCCCACAGAAAGGCGCCTGCAGCGGTGGAACCTGTCTCTGGAGGAGCTCCTAGCAGACCCCATGGGAGCGCACGAGTTTGAACAGTATCTGCGCACCGAGTACAGCCACGAAAACATACTCTTCTGGAAGGCCGTCCAGGACCTGCGACACGGCTCGCAGCAGGACATGCCCCGCAAAGTGGCCGCAATCTACGAGTGAGTGCCCGTTACTCTGCTCCTTACAGCTCGTTTGACGTTCTACTAATAATCATTATGAAAACACCTTTCTTTATTGTGAAGAAATGTCTATGCGACAGCACTGATTTCGGGCCACTCGTTTAGACCACCAAACACTATCCCGCAATCAACGAAGCAAGGGAATTTCGAGGGGCTGGTTTCTAGGTCCGACACTACCCGAGCTAAAAGCAGTAGAATATAAAGCCAAGAAAGGTGAACAAACATTACTTACACAGTTTTACGTGTATTGTAACTAGAATATAACTGGGAAGAATGTAAAGTGGAAGAAAAAACTTGATGATGATATGTGGGGTTTAGCGTCCCAAAATCACCATCTGATTAAGAGAGACGCTGTAGTTGAGGACTCCAGAAATTTAGACCACTTGGGGTTCTTTAACGTGCACTGTAATCTGGGACGAAAAGGCAACTTGCCGCTGCCAGAGACTGAATTGCCACTTTCAGATCTGAAGGTTTCAGGTTCGATGCCTGTCATCGAAAAGTTGTTTTTTGTCTATCTTTATTTTTCATTTTTATATCGATATTCCTGCAATACACATTAAGGAGTACACTTGACGTCTCCTCTACCTTTTTTGGCCTTATTATCAGCATTTTCAATATCTTCTATTACTAATTGCAGACCACTGTCATCGCTAGTTTCTCTGCGCTGTGCGCTAATAGTACGCCACCTGCCGCATCACAACGCAAATTTCACCACGCGAGGTAAATTCCCCGACAAAAGTTAGCGGAACACCAAGCTTTAGAAAAGAAGATAGCCACATTCCCACTATGTCTGGGGATCTATTATCCAATGAAGCGTAAAAACCACCATGCACGACTGGCTCATTCGCAGAGAGTTCCTGTGCCGGGGTTCTCCGTGTGAGGTGAACCTGGACAGCGAGACACTGGAGCGCACGCAGCAGGAGGTGCACGAGCGGCCCACGCGGTTCAGCCTGGACGCCGCGCAGCACCACGTCTTCGCCCTGATGAAGAAGGACACGTACACGCGTTTCACGCGCTCCGAACACTTCCGCCGACTCATGGCAAAGGCGCAGGCGCTGCAACAAGCACAGGGGCAGCGAAAAAGGTGACCGAGCACCGCGTTTGCCACATGTGCGTCATCGTCCCACGTTTAATGACTACGTGGCCAGTGACGTAGGCAGACACTGTGCGTCATCGTCGCACGTTTAATGACTACGAGGCCAGTGACGTAGGCAGACACTCGTTTCGGCGTTAAAGGAGGGTGGACACGTTTCTGATCAGACGTGAGGGCCGGGCAGGTGGGTAAGGTATGATTCTGTGCTGTGTCTATAGAAACCAAGCTCAAATTTCGAGGTGACGCTAGCGCTGTCGAGCTATGTGTTACTTGGAATAGGCATGTCGCCCTATTTGGCAGCAGTGGCAGCGTGTATACGTTCGCGCATGCGCTAATCACTCAGGCGGAAGCAGGGCTAGTCAGCAACAGTTACATCCGAGGTGCCACTGATGCAATCCCAGAGCTCTGCTCGTGCGAGGAGGCGGGGGTGGAGGTGTGGCGAAAGGATCACCATGAATATTGCCAGTCATGTCAAGAGCAGTGCGCCGCTTGACGTTGCTTTGAAAAGCGAGTTGCTTTGAAAGCCTACACCATAGCAGAAAAATACATCTAAAGGTGTAGGAAGCACGTGCTAGGTGTGCCACCCGTTGGCTGCGCCACTGGAAGAGACACCATCAAAGCTTGAATGTTCCCGATGTTTCAGCAGATAACTTAATTGACATAGCCAGCCTGTTTCACGAACATGCAAACACGTACACTGTGCAGTTTGACCGAATAAACAGTAACACATTGCTTGAACATCCTATGATTCTCTCAGACCTTGTGGTTTGTAAACTTTTGACGACAATTGGGCACTTAAGCAATTGTTTTCCGTCGACTTAGGCGTTCACATTCAAACCATGGCGTCCCAAGCGTTGTTTTTCGCCAGGTATGGGGCAATAAGAAACGACAACCGAGCACCTTTAGGACTACTACCACAATACAATTTTCACCCTATGATGATTGCATGTCTACGCGTTACGGCTTGGTGTTCTGTGCAGCATCAATTTCTTTATGTACGTCACATTTCATCATTACTTCATTTCCAGGTTACCACAGAGTGCTAAGTCAATGTTGAGTGGGTACTTCCACTGCCGTAATCATATGGGTGTTTGGGAAGCTTACGTTTCATGGTGAACATTATCCCGGTGCTTATCGTACAAATGTGAGGTTAGACGAAAAACTTGTGACCAAGGACTGTCGCTTGAACCGAATTTGCAGCCTTGTAGAGGGCAAGTCCACTCGTCAAAACGTTGGCACGAGTGACAGCCCATGTTCACGACTTTGTCATCTCTTCAAGCATCAGTCTTTAGCTGTTTCAAAATGTAGGACCAAAGTGCTACCTAGTTGGTGATCACCCAAACTTCTCTTTCTCAGATTCTTCCACTTTGGTTCGAGCACCAAGAAAAAGACGTCCGTGTGCGGACCACTGGTTGGCACGCTACCAACGAACTTCCCCGGCGGCACGAGTCTGACGGGCAACTCACTGGTCAACGTCGGCGCTTCCACGAGCTCTACGGGGGTCACTGGCATGCCGGGTGGTGTGGCAAGCTCCATGATGATCTCCGGCATCACGACATCGGCGACGTCACCGACTGCCACGAGATCCTCAGGCCGCCCCCTGTCCGGCAGCACGGTGGACCTGCGCAACGCCTCCGAGCGGCGTGACGAGGTTGTGGGTGCCGTCGGGGGCGCGGCGGGCGGCTTCAGCGGTCGCCACTCGCACTCGACCAGTGACTTGCACAAGCTGGAGGCCCCCTCGTCTTGTTCGCCGCACGGACACGTCGTGGCCAGGTGAAAGGGCGGCGGCCTCTGCGACAGAGACACACACACGTCCTGGCCGCCTGGTACGCGTGGCTGCACGGAGCTTGCTCTGGCGGCGATGGCGGCCATGCGTGTGCGCAGAGACGCGCGGACGCATACTGCTGGGTTCGATGGAGGCGGAAATGTTGTAGACCCGTGTGCTCAGATTTGGGTGCACGTTAAAGAACCCCAGGGGGTCGAAATTTTCGGAGCCCTCCACTACGGCGTCTCTCATAATTATATGGTGGTTTTGGGACGTTAAACTCCACATACCATACCACCACCAGCATGCTGCTGGGTTGAAGGAAGATCCCGAAAATGTTGACAACTATTCGAGCATGTCAGTCCCCAGAACGGGGATTCCGCAGACGGTTGAGGAGACTAGCGGTACGGGTGCTCACAAAATAATTTGGGACGCCGAACAAGCGACTACGTACCGATTGAGCACGCTGGTAGAAAAATAGTGCCATGCTCTGCACGTGAAAGGCATAGCTGGAAATCGAATATCACTCCCTAGTACGTCTAAAATGGCGGAACCTAGCCTCGAGCTGATAATGCTAAATGCTTGTTTGAACATCACTTTTGCTGCAGCTACCAATTTTACTGCAATACGTTAAATGCATTTTAGTGGCAGCCAAAGTTTGAGCTATGACTGTGCAGGTCACTGCCATGAGCTGTAGGCATGCTAGCAAACCAGGCATGTGGTATCGAAAAGATAAATGACGCCCAGAGTAACAAAAGATAACTGGTGATTAAGCTCGTGAAAACGCACACAGTACGCAAAAGTCCTCATGCTCCCAGCACTTCTCTGGCAACGCTAGATATGACCAGCGCAGGTGTTTCAGCGCCAAGCAACGGCATTCTAGATGCACTCTGTAACGAACCTTGCTTGCTGGGGAGGCCACTCGCGAGTAGCCGCATGTCCGCTGTTCCAAATCAATCCATGAGCGCCTGTACAAGTCGTGGGCACGCGTAGCGTAAGACACAGGTGCGTGTGCCACACAGTTACGTCAAAGCCGCCCACTTGTATACGCAATCGAAGCTCGGCACGTTTACAGTGCGTCAGCGATGGTATTACTTCGCCGTTGCATACCTCATCAACCGAGTGCGCCTTTGTCGACTGCACCCACAGGTTGCGCGATGCGAATGATAGATAACTACATCACAAGCAGACTGCATGTGCCGAGCTAGGCGTTTATTCTCGGGCGTATCTGCAACCACCATGCAGTACGCGCTCTCGACTTCGCGGTAAACGTCTTCACGTCTGTACTGTACATCTAGAATTAGCTGGAAAGCTGCCAGAAAGGAAGCGCCCTCTGCAGATATGTACTATCGTGGTGGGAAGAAACGTGAACATTGGAAAGCGTGGCTTTCAGTACAGTCGAACTCAGATATTTCTTGACTGTCACTACGAGAATCGGGGCACTGTGAATATTGTCCTGGATAATGATCTGACATCGTTGGAGTGTTCTGAGTTCCAGGCCTGACCAGCATATGATAAGAAAACGTGGCGTAGTAACAGCCAGAACAAGATTCTAGCGCTACGGTGACATCAGCAGAAAGCACCGATTCTCAAAGCGCAGTCAAGGGACGTTGGAGTGTGGCAGTGCTGAAAGCCACGTTTTTCGCTGTTCGCGTTATTTCCATCGTGATAGCACATGGGCGTCGGCAGGTAGGGGGGTGTAAAAAGGGGTTACTTGGCACCCCTCCCCCCTTACATCCTCCCAAACCACACCAGCACTTGCCGACCAACTCAACCAACCCCAGCGCTGTTATGTTCCTTCACCACGATGCAACGCGTATTTCCAATCCGAGAACAAAGTGCCTTGCGGATGCTCAAGGCTTTATCATCTCACCTTGGGTGACGGTTTAGGTTAGGGCTCAGCGCAGATGTTTAGAAGAGTGGCCGATGACTGACATAAGCACGCTGATAATAGCCCCTTAACACTAACACATGAAAGAGACACGTATACAAAACACTTCCTCTTAGCATGCATACGAACGCATTCGTCGAAATTCAGAATAATACCGAAATAATCAAAGGTACTTCTATCTTCTCTGGGAAATGGACATGGGCCGGGCATGCAGCGCACAGACGGGATAACCGCTGGTCATTGAGTGTAACTGACTGGATTCCCTGAGAAGGCAATCCGGTTAGGGGGAGATAGAAGGTTAGATGGGCAGATGAGATTAAGAAGCTTGCGGGTATAAATTGGCAGCAGCAAGCTCAGGACCGAGTTGACTGGCAGAACATGGGAGAGGCCTTTGTCCTGCAGTGGACGTAGTAAGGCTGATGATGATGATGATGATTACTTCTATATTGATATACGTAGTAGAGCAGTATACAATTGGCACTAGCAACCATCCTGTCTACGCATCTATTCCTTGTATTAGTTGCCTGGCACTTGATGAGAGGTTGGAGCTTGTTTGGCAACGGTGGCAACTAAGCATCTTGCTTGCTTAACCACGTCAATGTTATGGATGTCCAGAAGGTCCATTGCAGTGGTACAGTGGTTAACGAGCTCAAACCACAGCCTTGAAGGTCGTGGATTGTATAATAACAATGGCGGTAGAATTTCGATGGACGCGAAATATTAGAGTCTTTTGTACGATGTAATATGAGGGCATGTTAAAGAATACAAGACTATCGAAATTTCCGGAGAGGTGCACCAAGTTACTGGGAAAAGCTTTCAACCTACTGTGTGCGTGAAAAAAAAAGCTTACAATAACGATAATAGTTGGGGACCGAACATTAACCATTCTTTCATATCCTGCCCTAGTGTGTTTCCTATGGTTTTTTGTCGTTTTCAAGTTAGGCCACAAAGAGAGAGGCAATTTATTGAAAAGCCTCAGCTAGTGTGCTCAAGCCTGCCACTCTGTACAGAAAAAAAAGTCAAAAGGGAGAAAAAGTGGAATCACGGGTGACCACGGGGATAGGACACGTGCTTTTACGCAATAAATACATAACACAGTGATTTTTATGGAGTCTAGTGCCCAGTTATGTTCACTTAAGAAAACCCATACCAGTCATAATTCCTGTCGGTGACCTTGTCGTATCCAAATTTACGGAAAAAATACCACTCTCACTTAGCATTGTCACACCTCTTCCTGCCAACGTTGACAGGAGCATATTTTGTTTCTTCTACACGTAAAAAACTTTGGTTGAGCTGCACATCAACTCGAGCAATCCGCACACTCTCATGAAACTTTCACGGAGTGACCACTATAATGCCCCTCTCCCTTTGCAGGTTTTCGTGGGGTTCCCGAGAACCGATGGAGGAGGACGCAAATTCGAGCACCCTCAAGGTTCCACGTTGGAGCCACCGTGCCAGTGACCCAGAGGCTCTCCTGCCCCAGCTGGGCCTGCAGATGGACAGCTGGGATCGGTCTTCCCTCCGCATGAACGACGTTCAGGAAACGACGAAGAATTCGGCGGCTCAGCAGCAGTCACCTCCACCGCCCACGACGCCGAAAACGACGGCGACCCTGCCGTGAAAGAACGTACTCCAGCGAGAACCCGCAAAGGGGGCGAGAACCCGAAAGCATGAATACGAAACGACTGGAACTATCTTGGCGACAGCGTCGCTGTTCTTGACGAGCAGCCAGGGACGCATCTTCCGGTCATCGAGACTGTTGTTTCCCATTCTTCGCTGCCACCGCTGTGTGCCGTAACGTATTCGCTGTGACTAGGGACGTCACTCGAGACGTTTTCGTTTTGACGACGCTGGCCCTGCGTTTCGACGCCGTTGACGATGACGATGTCGAGGAAGATGGTGTGCAGGCGACGTGTCCTTCTTAAGTGTGACAGAAAGTTATAGTGGTGTTTTCGATTTTTTAATCTTTTCTTATATTTCATTCCTGTATGTTGCTTTATAGGGTGCTTCAATGTGGCTCTTCTTTGCGCTGACGGGTTAATTCAAAGCGCTCATAGATTTGTCCGCCTAAAGAAAGAGATAAGATATAGATCGTTAAAGGTCGACTAGGTTGAGTGAAGAAAATAATTTATGTAAGTTATAGATTATATACAGATTTAGAGAGTTTACTGATAGGTGGACCTTGTTGCCTGGTCTGTGTCAGTATGCTCGGTTGTTGAAAGTAACCATAAAAATCGTACGTAATAGAATAAGCGAAAACAACTTGAAAGAAAATTTTCATTGCTATTCTAGTGCCGTACAGGGGTAGCTAGAAGCAGTTGAGGTGTTTTTGCCCGACGAAAATTGAAAGCCTCTAAGTAGAGAAGGAATTCTTTGTCGATCGGAAAAGAAATCATTCATCAGCACATGAACATTGCTGAGGTTAAAATTACGCCGAGGAACACTCTACGTCTAAATGAAGATTGCGGCGGAATGAAGGCAAAACGTTGCTTGCTGGCCTGATATGAACAATTAGCGTCGAAAACGTGAATAACTCGTTTGTGAGATGAAGGGCTTGAAGATATCGTACGAGTAATGCTAACGCGAAAGGCAGCAAGAAAAGAAACACACTGCGACCTGATGAGAATTCAAAGTTGTAGTAGAAGCGGAGCTTTGTTGTGATTTTGCGCTGAGCGCTTTCGATGTATACAGTTGTCTTTCGCTCCATCGATGGCAGATTTAGCAAGAACTGTCGCATGGGCAGAGGTTATATATCCTTTTCTTTTCTGTGAAAGAATGACAGCGCATCGCCAACTGTCCTTCGATGTTACCATTCCTATTCGATGTGGTGTTCCGAGCCCACTTTTTGTTTTGGCGCCGCCATATTGATTCAGACGTTCACTTTGAGGCCTTACGTTATCGTCTTACGGCTCTTGAGTTGATTTCAAGAGAAGGAATTGATTTACATACCATCACACAATCCTCCGAATTTTTCGGGTTTCAGGAAAGTATTTACGGAGGCTACAAAAACGCAACAAAATGTCCGCCATAACCTCGCATGCGGGTTTAAGACAGCTCTTGCCATCCATTTGGGCCACTTACACGCACATAAAAAAATTGCACCCTTTTTGCGGTGACCGACGTAGTAAAACAGCCAAAGCTCGCAAAGTTCCTTTTAATGCTTTCGAGTCTTCCTGCCAGCACAAAATGGCAGCTTCATGTGGAGGTTGAAAAAGAAAGTTCCCTCGTCGCCAAAAGTTCTCGAGCCAACTACGTTACTCTTTCAAGAACAAACCAGAGCTGATGCACTTAGGTAACTCAGATACCTCGCACTTCAAGCGGTACACATAGATTCCGAAGAGTTAGGTTGTCATGCTCAGGGCTTGGAGTCTGTATCACTGATGCGCAAGGCGCCAAAAAGTTGACACCAACGCGCTGATTTTACGGCGAACTACTGTCGTTCAGCGTACGCTGTAAGCTTTTGTTCACACGTTAGCAAGCCTGTACCTCTAGATGAATGACATGGCGAAGTCATTTACGCTAAGTATTCAAGAGACGTCAAGCATGTACGCTGCTCTTGTTTGCAGTGTAGCGTCTACATGGGTATTTTCTATGCCGGCCATAGATGAATCACAAGTGCGATTCCAATGGCAAAACGAATTGAAAACACCGCACATTTCCCATTTGTGTCGGACTTTATAGACACAATCAGATTCGACAAAAAAATATAATATTTGCGCCAATGTAAGGTGATACTATCGTTTCCCTTTTTGGATCGCGGATGAGCACTTATATTTCAGATTGTCTTAATAATGAGAAATATTTATTTTAAAATTTATTACTTTGACGAAATGAGTGGTTCCGGTTTAAATTAGGAATTACAGAGGATACATATCTTACAGCCTAAGTGAACTTTTGGAAGAATTATTTATTTTATAAAAATGGTTAAACGAGTTTCTATTGCCAGGAGGAGCACATCTTAAATACGCGCTTTTTTCGACAAGAGTAAGTCCACTACGGCACGATGACGAAACACAGCGGTGAGTCAAGGAAGCCGACGGATGCCGAGGCGTGAGTGGCACGACCAGATACCTATGTCTACGATTAGTTTCGCATGCAGTATTGTTTTTCACTTCTTGACTTTCAGACCTGCGAACATGTGTCTTGAGGACGCACTTAAGTTGCCATAATAGAGCTAAATGTATGGTGACGAAGCAGAAACAGCCGCCCGAGACAAAGATGTGAGAGACGTGGCAACACGTTGGCTCGATAACTTTTGGCGGAGGGTGGGCGTATCCTTATCGTTGCGTCGCGAAACTTCCATCCTGCCAGCCACATTGACGTGGATCCAGCAGATCTGAGGTGTTTACGCAGTCTTCTTCTCAGGGCAAAGCGGACATGCCTGGGTGAAGGTAGCACACCAGCTCAGACGCAAGTAAACGTCTTCATACGTCGTAGACGTCTCCTCCATCGCCATAATATAGAAAGTATAATATATGTGTCGGCCAGATGTAGGCGGCGCTAGCGTTGTGCTCTGTACCAAGCTGTAGTGCAGTGTGTTTGCTTACAGTGGGCTCGATTAAGGGGGGGGGGGGAGTAGAGAAGTTTTGAATGTTAGGTAAGCATAAGTTGGAGCAGTTGTTTGTATAGAAGAGGCACGCTGTTAATGATTCACACAAAGCATAGTAGTTTCGTTTTACGCAAGGCCACGTCCAGCAACCAGTGTTGAGGGCTGAATGAGTCCGCGAACTTGGTGAACATTGGGCATTGAAAGTCACATAACTACGCACTAAGGAAGAAATGGATGGGTGCGGAAGTTTCTACAGTGTTTCGGCTAGTTGCCCTTTTGACTATACAGTTCATGCAGCCTAATCAATTGTGAAGCCCAAGGGGCGGCTTTCAGTTGTCCCATAGTAGAGTACCAAATCGTTAACCACTCTCTCTGAACTGACATTAGTGGTTTTAGTGTATTTTACGCGTCGTAAGAGTGGCGCAGCCAAAATTCAAAATATTACCCTGCAGCTCCGGATCGCCGACCATGGTACCAGGGAGACGTATTTCCTGGATATTTAGTCTCAAAAGTGTGCCCTTCTTAACCTCGGTGTAGTAATCAAGTTACGAAGCGGAGGACCCCTTCCGTACTTCTAATGCTCCGGGCCTTCGTAAAGGCAAGAGATAGTTCAGAAAAAAAGTGGTCCATCAAAGTTCCATAGTTTGGAATGCCTTGTTACACTCCGTAAGTAGTGTGCACTCTCGGGCACGCTGCGGCATTTTCTTGTTGGACGGCTAGGTCGTTTTAGGTTAAATTAGATTGTCCACTAGGAACAAGTGTGGGCAAAACTTATTAGAACACAACAGCCATCGTTTGGCTACGCATTCATTAACGCATGCGCACCAGCGCCACCCTTATAGCCGCTTCACAACTCTGGGCTTGGTGTCTTAACCTGTGGATAGGAACGAAGCTTCCAAGTTCTTTAGGGGGAGGGGGAAATATTCACTATCAGGGCAAAACAAATGTTGTATCTCATTTTACCAGTGATCACGCGCTAGATGTGACCCCATGATGCAGTTTAGTGTAACTTCAGAAGCATAAACCGAGAAATTTGCATGTAATAGGTTTTCTGGTATAAAATAACGACATGAAGGTGAAGGTGGACGGCTTGTGTGTTCGAGCCAACATTTCGGCAGGTGGACAAGTTAACATGTCGAATTGCTACCTCGAGAACGCAATCCCTGTTTACCATTTTTTTTCACATGTAGGTTCCCTCATGTAACTTCGGGTGCTGTCGCGGTCCTCAAGTATGCAAGTTCTCAGCCTCAGATGTTTTGCACACTGGCACGAATCACGCAGGAGGTGCGAGACGCTGTTTATCACCTAAGAAAACACTTCATTCGTCCAATTCTGACACCGAAAACATTATTAGCGACCACTGTTGGGTAATGGCGAGTATCCTTTACGAAAGGAGAGCGTCGTGAATCCTACTACAGATCGATGGCTCTGTATAAGCAAATCAAGAGTCGTAGAGCTGGCATCACAGACTAATTTCCAAGCTTTTCCCTGATTCTCGTAGAACCCAGTGTTATGCAACTCCACATTGCTCCACCTCAGCTCGTGTGTTAAAACTGCATTTTATTCTGTCCTACATTGGCCCGTCTCATGTTCGTGATTGGCGTTTTCTTTGTGACCCGTCGAAGCAGTACAGATGGATTTTTTTTGTACCTGCGAAATGCCTACGCCATGATTATTGGCGCGCGCATGGAGGGGATGGGGAAGTAGAGAAGAGCTGCCCCCATCCCGTCCTCAAAGTGTGGCGCCAGGTCAGTCCAATTCGCTTGCCCAGTCGTACCTCTACCATGATTGTTTAAACTCGGGGGTTATGCCTATACAGTATTTCATTATCTGGAACGAAGGACGCAGGTTTGACGACTGCTGGCTCCAGATTGTCTCTTCGTCCACTGTATGGCTTTTAGGTGTACGTCCCAATCTATAGTCTCAAAACAGTACTATTAAGGTCCCCAATTGCATTCCTTAGTGTCACATTAGGCTGGTTTTCATCGAGTTTGTCTAAAGCAAAGAAATGAACCCTCCGATTTCTCTTCCTCGATTCATGCTTGTATACAGTTAAAAATCCTAGAGTATGAATACCGAAAACGGGAACCTCCGAAGTGCGGAGAATACAGGCAGGCCATTTTGACAAACACGTCATCGTTCTCTTTCAGTTTTGGAAACAATTACCTAGCCTCTTCTCTCTCAGACTTGTGTATAATGGAGAGGCATTCATTAACCAGCCTCTTTTCTTACAGACTTGGGCAATATGGGGTGGAACACTGCGTTGAAGCATGCCCCCCCCCCCCACCCGTGTCTTTTTTTAGAGAACGCATGGCACACCTATGACTATGACCATGTTTCCTTTCACCATTTGAACCTCGCCACACGCAAAAAAAAAAGCTCGTGTGTTACTGAAGTCAATCCCCTTGAAGTCCCAAGTCGATACGATGTTTGTTAACGGCTGCACTTCGACGTCGGCAAGGGGGAATCGAATGGGTGATCATTTAACGTCATCCACACGTAAAGAAACAACTATAGGCCCCATCTAGCTGAGAACATTGAGGCACCCTTCTTAGGCCAATGACTTTGTGTCCAGACGAGGCAAAAAATATACAAAGAAAGAAAGAGTATGAGAGGTAATGTGATATTTTCTAGGTACTCTATAGGATTATAGCAGTTGAAAAACAAATGTTTGCCTGCGAGGAGTCGTAATGTTTTTTTTTATTATTTTTCTCAGGAACACATCTACATACACGAACACAGACACGTACAAAAACAGGTAGAGAGTCACGTTACAGGCGATTAGCCCTTGTATAGTTTCACCTCGCTCAGTTCTTCTCGTTAGAGTCATACTCCAAGTTCGAGAATAGACTATCGAGATTTCTCGACTGGACGAGACAGAACGAGCCTATTGCGAATACTGCGTCTGTTAGGACAAAGAATATGTATGCCGCTGAAGTCTATTTTTCTTTTGTTATATAAACAGAGTGTGTTTCAGATAAATATAGGACAGATTGTTATTCTTGCTTGCTTCATGGTTCTAGGAGGAGTGGCTTTTAGGGACAGCGTAGTGAGAGATGTGATATAGAGAGAAGAAAAGAAAAAGGGCAGGGCCCTGCAAAGTGGTTTTTGTTGCCGTATAGCACACTGAGATGGGCCCTACACTAAGATGTGCCGGTGCATTAGCTGAGGTTTCTCGCCTTAGAATGACGTCTCAAACTGTCGCTTCCGGTGAGGTATCATTTGCTGAAGCTTAACCTCACAATAAATGACAACGACGTTCTTTCTATACAAGAATTCATGGGCATTAAGA